TTATTTTTCATATCAGTGAAGCTCTCAGATTGAAACTAAAGAGCAATTTGCTCCCTTTAAATAGTCCGTATTCATCTGCGACTCAGTGGATTCATTTTGTCCAGAGCGCTCTGCCAGCAAACAAGATTGCAGGGAGGGAAGGGGAAGAGCCAAGTTGTAAAAGTCATAAAAAAGAAACTGGCGCAGCGGCTTCCACCATAATCCCAGCACTTTGGGAGGCTGAGGTAAGAGGATTGCCTGAGCCCAGGGGTTTGAAACCAGCCTGGACCCTGAATTGTATCCCACATCTTTAACATAAAAAGTTTAAATTTAAATTAAAAAAAAACAAAAAACTAACCTGGGCAACTGGGTGAGACCTTGTCTCTACAATAAATAAAAAAATTAGTTGGGAGTGATGGTGCATGCCTGCAGTTCCAGCTACTTGGAAGGCTGAGGTGGAAAGACTGCCTGAGCCCAGCAGGTCGAGGCTGTGGTGGCCATGAGCGTGTCTCCGCACTCTAGCCTGGATGGCAGAGTGAGACTCCGACTCAGAAAAACAAAGAAAAAAATTTCCCACTGAGTGAATTTCTATCCACTAACATTTTTTTTTCATGGATTTGGGAAGATGGCAGAGTGCCCGGCCTGCTCCACCCCCTCAGCCCTTGGCTGTTTGGGAAACTCAACTCCATCCCTGGGTTCTGACTCCCTGCGAAGCCAGCATCCTGCCTTGCCTAAACGCTGTTTTCCTGCAGTTAAGTTCCCAAAAGAAAGGGTGATGGGGCCATTCGCTTTTCTTTTTCTGTGTGAGCCTTGGTGTGTCCTGTCTCTTGCTTTGATCCTCCTAGCACCACTAAGAGGTCAGGACTGTCGGGGGTCCTTGTGTTGCAGACGCCGACAGAGAACAATTGGAACCCAGACCTCTGGGCCACCAGAGGCCACACTTTTGACCATGTCCCTGTGGCCCATTAAGTCGACCCACACCACGAGAAATACCACAGGTCCTGGGACTTCTGGCGTGCAGCCTGGGCCTGCTGCTGGGGACTGAAGGGACATGGGGGTGATAACACCCACCCCTCCCCTCACCCCCAGGCTGGGCCCTTCATTCCTGACAGTGCGGCTGAAACTCCTGTCTGCTATCTCTTAGATTAGTTCACAGCTATTTTTATTCTGCCCTTGCTTGGGGAAGAAACACAGCTTGGGTAAACTCTCCAGCGGGCCCCAGGGAAGACCACCATTAGCTGGGGAGGAAATCAGAACTTCTCTTTTTCCCCACTTAAATTCACCAACACGTGTTGATATGAATGTTCTGGAATAAATAATGCCTCATCTCCTGGTCTGGTAGGAAGGAGATTCTAAGGATGGACTTGGTGAGGGGAAAGAGGACCCAGGGAGGGGAATGGGAGGGAGGAAGACGGGAAGCTTGAAGGGGCAAGCTGTGGGTGGGGAGCCTCAGACATCTGAGTGGGGACCATGAGAGTCTGGGGTTCACAGAGAGGGCTGCGCTGCTCGGGCAACTTGGGGCTATTGATGAGCACCTTCCTTTCTTTTATTTTCCTTCTTCTTTTGGGGGGGTAAGGGTCTCACTCTGTTGCCCAGGCTGGAGTGCAGTGGCATGCTCCTGGCTCACCACAGCCTTGACCTCCTGGACTCAAGCAATCCTCTGGCCTTGGCCTCCTGAGTAGCTGAGACTACAGGTATGCACAACACACCCAGCTAATTTTTAAAAAATGTTTTGTAGAGATGGGGGTATCGCTATGTTGCCCAGGCTGGTCTCCAACTCCTGGCCTCAAGCAATCCTTCCTCCTTGGCCTCCCAAAGAGCTAGGATTATAGGCAAGAGCCTCCATGCCAGGCCTTGGCGAGTACCCTATGGATGTGCTGAACGCTGTGGGGACATGGATGCCCTTACCTCTGAGGGAAGAGGCAGAGGAGCAGAGAGAACACCATCTGAGTCTGCATTTCAGGCCAAATAGCAGGAGAACCACAAAGGGCAAGGATTTGCTGGAGAAGTCAGAGGAAAATGGAGAGCGTGGTGCCACAGAGCCGGGAAGCTTTCCAGAAGAACCAGTGTTCAACGGGACAACTACTGCTGAGAGGTGAGGTGGGGGTGATGACATCCCCTGACTGGCAGCCTGCGGGCACTGAGACTTCCACTCTGCTCCTGCCACTGTCTTCCCGGCATCCCTGGTAGCTGCCGGTTGGCCCATCTCAGCCTCAGGTCTGGCTGTTCCCTCTGTACGGGATCCCCGTCCCTCGGCTGTCCCCAAGACTCACTTCCCTGCCTCAAGTCTTGCCCAAATCTTATCCCAGGGAGACCAACCTGCCCACTCAGCTTGAGATGGCACACTTGCCCCCGCCTACACCATGTCCCCAGCCACCTCCTTTCCAACGTATTGAATGGCTTGTCTAGCGTGTCAGTTACCTGCTCCTTGCAAACCTAAGCACCATGATGACAGAATCTGTGCTGGGTCCAATATCCAGCACAAGTGCCTGAAACACAGCAGGTGCTCAGTAAATACTTTTTTTTTTTGAGACAGGGTCTCACTCTGTCACCCACGTTGGAGTGCAGTGGCGCCATCACAGCTCACTATAGCCTCCACCTCCTAGGCTCAGGTGGTCCTCTAGTCTCAGCCTCCTGAGTAGGTGGGACTACAGATGCACACAACCATGCCTGGCTAGTTTTTATAATTTTTTTTGTAGGTACAGGGTCTCAGTATGTTGTCCAGGTTCATATTGAATTCCTGGCCTTAAATGGTCCTCTCGCCCCAGCTTCTCAAAATGCTGAGATTACAAGTGTGAGCCACCACACACAGCCAATACTTCTTGAATGAAAGATCTTTTTTTTTTTTATTGTAGAGACGAGGTCTTGCCAAGTTACCCAGGCTGGTCTCCAACCCCTGGGCTCAGACAATCCTCTCGCCTCAGCCTCCCAAAGTGCTGGGATGACAGGCTTGAGCCACTGCGCATGGCCAAATGAGAGCTCTCTTGATGGCTGCTCTGTGCTTTTAACTCCTGGACTGCCAGCTAGTGAAAATGTAGCATATGAGCTTGCTTTACTGATAACAGTGACAATTTAAGGCCACTTAAGAAATATATTGCAAAAACAAAAGACAGGTAAGCATCATATATGTATGTTTCTTAAAAATTGGATCCCTATTTTTAAACATATATCCATGACATTTCAGATGGACCCATGGGAATAGTCACACCTGCTGTAGGACCAGAGAGGGAGTGTGGACACTGCCCTCTCATGGCCGAAGTAGGGAGGGCACACCCTGCACAAGAGGCTGGAAGAGGAAGATAGTGCTGTGACAGACGGGGCTACCAGCTTTTATGTTATCAATGACATTTCAAAATGGGTCAAACTCGGCTGGGCACGGTGGCTCATGCCTGCAAATCCCAGCACTTTGGGAAACCAAGGAGGGAGGATTGCTTGAGCCCAGGAGTTCAAGACCAGCCTGGGCAACATAGCAAGACCTCGTCTCTACAAAAAAAAAATTAAAAATTGGCCTGATGTGGTGGCCCATGCCTGTAACCCCAGCTATTCGGGAGGCTGAGGCAGAAGGATCGTCTGAGCCCAGGAGGTTGAGGATACGGTGAGCCGTGATTGTGTCACTGCACTCCAGCCTGGGCCAGAGTGAGACTCCAACTCAAAAAAAAAAAAAAAAAAAAAGAGGGGGTCAAACTTGACTCTTTTCAGAAGGAGACAAGTAAAAAAGGAGTAAAGTGTCAAAGGGAGCATTTTTTGGGTGTGCAGGGCCCACGCATTTCCATATTGCAGGGAGGATGTTGACAATTAGTGGGAAGCAGTAAAGAAAAATGTTAAGACAAGACAATCCCAGCTGATGACATCCATCTGCTACACTTACAGCTGGAATCTGGGGGAATTTCCCATCTGTGCTTTATTCTCAGCTTTAATTTGACTATAAATAAGACACATGTGTGCATGATCTGCACTGAGTGTCACTTGGAGCCAGGGATTGTTTCAGCATGATATACAGCCTATCAAATGTGTGTACTGTGCATTTACACACACACACACACACACACACACACACACACACACACACAAAATTCTTCAGCTTGGAACCAACTAAGTAGCCTGAGGTGGGCAGCCAGTCATCTCGAACTAGGTCCCCTGTTCCTCACTTCATAACTGAGGCCTTAACCCTTGATACCCTCTGCTCACACAGACCTAAGCAGAACTGCCAATGCCTGGCCCAGCTTTTCCTGAAGCCGCTTGGCTGTTTGTTCTGGGAAACCTGAGGGCCCAGAGCCCTGAGAGTGGCATCAGTCAGCAAGGACACACAGGCCCAGTCGGCGGGGCCTGCACTGGTTATTCTCTTTTGATGTTCAAAGGCCTGTATGGACAATCACCTCCACTTTACAGATGGGAAAACAGGCTTAGCGACAAAAGGCTAACTCTCCTGTGGTCATGGGGTCCGTTGGTAGCAGAGTTGAGTCTCAGAACCAAGTGTTTTAGGCTTGCCCAAAGTTCACATTCTTTCCATATTCCCTTCCGCCGCCCCCTCCCTCTCTCAGGTGCTCTGGGCTCTAAACAGCAGGGGAGGTCGGCCAGCAGTAACACAAGGGGACACTAATACCCCCAGGGTAGGCATAGCCAGGTCTCTCCCCTGGTCTCTAGGAGGGATCCCATGCAGCTCAGCTTCTCACTAGCTCCTCCCTCCTTGGTGATACTTGGCTCCAGGCCTCAGAGACAAAGGCCTGGCCAGCAGCTGGGGTGGAGAGGACCGTGTGCCTTCTGGGATGCCAGCATGAGTCACTTCCAGCGGGGCGTCTGCAGCCTCTCCTGCCAGTCTGCCACCTCTCCTGCCAGTCTGCCAGACCTTATTTCTGTGGCGCCGTTGGGGAGGAACCCGTCTGGGTGACCAATGCATTTGTAAGGTGCTGAGTGTCTACAGCACCCTGTGTAACTTTGGTCAAGCCTAATTCCCTTGAATGAATGGTCTACATTCATGTCCTAGAAACTGGCCACAGAGAGGAACACACTCCCCAGAGGGATGCCCTGTAAAAACAAACACGTTTATTCTGTGAAACATCTTCAAGTTTTCTGAGGAATGGCTGTGAGTGTCCGCCATCCTTCCTCCCATCTCTCCTCTCCTCTCTTGCCACTAGATCTGGCACTTAAGGGCCCAGCTGGGCGTGAAGGAGGAGGAGCACCAAACGACACGACTCCAAGTGCCCTGTGCATGGCAGCCCCCACAGGACGTGGCAGGACTGTCCCGGCGGTGCCCCGTGACTGCTGCCTCTGTGGCTCTGCGTGCCTGGACAGCAGCCACCTGTGGAAAACTGGGAGTTGTGCTCTAGCCAAGCTGCTGAGCACCCAGAGCAAAGCGGGGGTGTCCTGGCTGAGAGGTCGGGTGGAGCTCGGGGGGCAGATCCCAACACGGGGGCTGAGGGTCAAGGCAGGAGCCCGGGACCTCACAAGAAAGGAAAGAGTCGCTTCTTGACAATGTAGAGGACCGTGGCAAGAAAGAGGGCCAGGGCCAAGAAGATGAGGAGCTTGTCTGTGAGCTCACGGCGGTTGTACTTGGTGATGAGCTTGCGGCCCAGCGTGATGGTCCCCGACATGGACTTGAACTCTTCATTTGCATCCAGGATTGTGCGTGAAGAAGTGACTGCAACACAAGAGGGAGGGCCCGGCTCAGAGGCTGTGCCACACATGAGCCTCAGTCCACCATGTGCCCGTGATCCTGTCTCCTGGAGCAGGACCTGAGCCATCAGGGAGCATGACCAGAGGGCATCTGGAGGAACAAAGAGAGCAGAGGCCAGCAGGGAAGGCTCTGCCCAGGGCCCATCGGCTCCAGAAAGTGGCGGCTGACTTGTGAATCCCCCATGTGGACATCACCGGGAGCAGGGCCAGAGAACCTTGCCCCTCGGCCCCTCAGGCCTCTGAAGCAGATGAGCCACAGAACTGGCTGGGGGCTGAGGGTGGCACTGGAAGGGTGGTGTTGGGGCAGCAGCCAGAGGCTCCGGGCCTGTCCACCCAGGAAGCCTGGGACATGGTTGCTGCCCTAGAGAGGTGGCATCTGGGAAGGGTCCATGTCCCTTAAGGGATCACTATGCCAGAGTCAAATGAGTTTCTGAGGAGAAGGTTCCTGCACGGTTCTCCTACAGGGTGGAGTAGGGCACCATCAGCATGGGCATCAGACAACATGTGATCAGTGACAAGGCGAAGTGTAAGAGTGGGTATGTGGAGGGCTGAGCCATGTGCGAAAGAGGGAGGAAAGTCACAGCTCATATGCTTGTGGTATATAAGTGGAGGCTCTTAGAAGGATGAGAAGTCACCAGAAACAGTGGGTGCCTCTGGGGGTGGACCCAGGGGGCAGCAGTCAGGAGAGGTGTCTTTCTGGGGTTCTTTTTGCATGACACAGCAGCCACTGGGCACATAAAACGTGGCTGATGCAAGTGGAGATGTCTGTGAGTGTGAAACACACACAAGAGTTCAAAGACTTAGTATGAAAAAAGTGAATGTAAAATATCTCAATAATTTTTAACATTAATTGTAGGTTGAAGTTGTAATATTTTACTTAATGGGCTAAATAAAATACATTATTAGAATTAATTTCTTATGCTTTTTTTATACTTTTTAAAATGTGCCTACTAGAAAATTTAAAGTCACATATATATCAGGGCACAGTGGCTCACGCCTGTAATTCCAGCATTTGAGGCTAAGGCAGGAGGATGGCTTGAGCCCAGAAGTTCTAGACCAGCCTGGGTAACATAGTGAAACTGTGTCTAAAAAAATTAAAAAATTAGCCGGGCTCAGTGACTCAGCCTATAATCCTACGCCTTTGGGAGGCTGAGGTGAGTGGATTGCCTGAGCCTGCGGGTTTGAGACCCGCCTGGGCAGCGAGACCTCATCTCTACAATAAATCAAAAAATCAGCCAGGTGTGGTAGCGCATGCCTGTAATTCCAGCTACAGGAAGGCTGAGGCGGAAGGATCACCGAAGCCCAGCAGGTCGAGGCTGTGGTGGCCGGGAGCGGCCACTGCACTCCAGTCTGGGCAACAGAGTGAGACTCCAACTCAAAAAAAAAAAAGAGAGAGAAAAATTAATAAATAATCAAAATAGTGGCTCCCACTGATTCTCCTGGATAGCGCTAGGCTGGAGGCTTCTTTTCGTAACCATGTTATATATATTTCGTTTGTTTGTTTGAGTTGGAGTCTCACTCCATTGCCCAGGTTGGAATGCAGTGGCATGTTGACAGCCACCCCAGCACTGACCTGCTGGGCTCCAGGGATCCTTCAGCCTCAGCCTTCCAAGTAGCCGGACCTACAGTGCGCACTACCACACCTGGCTAATTTTTGATTTATTGTAGAGACGAAGTCTCGCCGAGTTGCTCGAAACCACGGGCTCAGGCAGTCCACTGGCCTCAGCCTTCCAAAGTGCTAGGATTACAGGCTGAGCCACCGAGCCCAGCTACCATGTTATATGTTACCTTTTCACAAAATTAAAAGCTGACGAGTAAATAAATTATCAGAGGAAACAGCAGCATGTTGAAAACGGCAAATCAAGGGGAGAAACAAGCACAGCACGAGACTGCTCTCAGCCTTCTCCATGCTGACTGCCATCCACGCCCTCCATGGAGCTTGTGAGGTGAAAGGCTAGGCCTTTCTTTCTAGGTGTGCTCTTATGGAGAATTTTGTTTTATCTCATTTTTGACTCAAGGTCTCACTCTGTCACCCTGGCTGAAGTGCAGTGGCACAATCATGGCTCACTGCAGCCTTGAACTCCTAGGCTCAAGGGATCCTCCACCTCAGCCTCCCAAGTAGCTGGGACTCACTCAGTTAATGTTGATATTTTGTAGAGATGAGTTCTCACTATGCTGCCCAGGCGTTTCTTGGGCTCAAGCAATTCTCCCACCTTGGCCTCTCAACAATCCTGGGATTACAGGTGTGAGCCTATGATGGAAACTTCTGAACTCTCAGCAGGTAGATAGCATAGCATCAAGAATGTCTCGTGCCCATCACCAGGCCTAAGAACCACTAGCCCCACAGCCCTTCCCCGTCCCACAATTTTGCAGTGAATCCTAGACATCATATTCTAACATGCTTTTCTGTTCTAAGTGTGGTCCTAATAATCTTTTAAATAAAGCTGAGTCTAGGAGGAAAAAGGGAACGGTGAAGACTGCCCTCTGCTCCTTATCTCTTATCTTTTCTAGAAAATGTGCCCTGAGACGACTGGCACACTGGGCCCTCTCCACACCTCAGAAACCACCAGCATTTGTGTCTCCTTCTCCCCGTTGGGGGACTCCTGTTACCCCATCATAGCATAAAAGCCTGATTCAGGTTGGGCTGTCTCCTCACTGTCCTCCAAGGCCTCTCTGCCGCCCACCTACGGCACACGCTCAGAGGCCCAGCGGCCGCGGAGCCCGAGTGCTCAGATAAGCTGCAAACACACAGAGTGGACTCAGGGTCACTTGCTCGCTCTCCTGTTGCTTCTGTTGGGTGCACCGAAAAGGAGAGTGGTTCAAAATTATAGATAATTTCTAGGGGTGATAATGGTATTGTGGTTACAGGTTGTTTTGTTTTTTCCCCTAAAGAGTCCCTTATCTTTTAGAAGGGACAGGCTGAGATATTTAAGCACGATGTCTGGGACCTGCCTCAGAATAACCCAAGAGTGGTGGAGTTGAGGAGAGCTGATCCGAGGCTGGCTGAGAGCCGGGGGCTGCTGAGGGGTGATGGGCTTGGGCTCATGACACTGTGCCTGCCGCTTCTGTCTGTGTGTGGAATTTTCCCCAAGCAATTTCAACTAAACTCTCTTATCCTGTACTCCCTCTTGGCCTGGCGAGGGCTGCTTCTCCTCTGCGCTACAGAAGACACTCAGGAGAGCTGTTGGAGGAACCTGGTGCTTTCAGCAGCCTCTTCTGCAGTCTCTGTGTCTTTTAAAAGGAACTCACCAGAAAAATGATATTTGGGAGTAAAATTGCAAATGGAGGCCCAGCAGTCTTCCCAGCAGCCGATACATCCAACAGTTGTTCTTTTAGGCCAACTTCTCCACCTGCCTGGCCATAAAGGTCCCCAGACCCCTGGCTTGAAGTCAGCCCCCCCAGGCCCGGCCTGGCCCTGATGACACCCACTGCGCCTGGGCTGTCTGCCTCTCACGTGAGCCTTGCGATGCTTCCGCTGGGGAAACACTGACCTGATGGTGTGTGGGCTCTTCGAGCACAACTATAACAACTGAAAAGAGACACAAGCAGCATGTCCCCACTCTGGGGAAGACCAGGCTGTCGAGTCATCACACAAGTGAGAGGTCAGGGAGCTTTAGGAGGGTGGTGGAAGGAGCCTGGGATGGGGGAGAGGGCCTGGAGCCACGTCTGGGAGCAGCCTTGACTTGGCTTGGCCTTACCGAGAGTCTGCATGGCCTCCTCACTCTGCTGGACCTGTTGGGACATCATCCTGCTGATCCCCATGAGGTTCTCCGTGATGGCGCTGGACGTCTGGGCCAGGCTCTCCTTGGTGGTTTTCCTGAAAGTCCAGGGAGAGGGGCACATCAACAAAAGTCTTGCTGCAAGAAGGCCCCATGTCCAACAACAGCCCTTTTGTTACCTATCAAATTAGGACATACACTTTTATGGGTTGTTTTTTTTTAATTGAGGTGTCACTCTGCTACCCAGGCTGTAGTGGCACAATCATGGCTCACCACAGACTTCCTGGGCTCAGGTGATCCTCCCACCTCAGCCTCCCAAGTAATTACCACTACACACGCACCACCGCACACAGCTAATTTTTTTATTTTTTTGTAGAGATGAGGTCTTCACTATGTTGCCAGTCTTTGTTTCAAACTCCTGGGACCAAAAGACCCTCCCATCTCAGTCCATACACTTTAAATAGCCACAGTCAATGCTGATGAGGGTGTGCTGAGACCTGTGCACCTATAGACTGCAGGAGGAACATAAGCTGGTGCTACCTTCCATAAAGCAATTTGCCAGCATGTATCAGGAGTCTTAGGAAAGTTCATTCCTTTGGCCCAATAATCTCAACTCTGGGAATCTTTCCAAAGGAAATATAAAAAATGCAGATAAAGCCCTATGTTCCAAGATGTGCCCTGGTGTATTATTTATAATACTAAAAAACTAAAAATGTAAACACACACAGGGGATCATATTACCATACAGTCTACATACTATGTAGGGTAAACAGCCAGACGTAGTAGCTCATGCCTGTAATCCCAGCACTTTGTGAGGCAGAGGCAAGAGGATGGCTTGAGCTCAGGGGTTCAAGACCAGCCTCAACAACTTGGCAAGAACTCGTCTCTACAATAAATTAAAAAATTAGCTGGGAGTGGTGGCACGTACTTGTAGTTCCAGCTACTTGGAAGGATGAGACAGAAGGGTTGCCTGAGCCCAGCGGGTTGAGGCTGCGGTGGCCATGAGCCTGCCACTGCCCTCCAGCCTGGGTGACAGTGAGACTCAGACTCAAAAAAAAAATTAAAATTAAAAAACTAAAAAGGACAAGCTTTGGGCTATAATACTAAGTGAAAGAATAGATACTAAATTTAATAAACAGTATGATTTTGGCTTTGCAAAAAATACGGAAGAAGAAAAAAATGAAACACCAAGCTAAAAGCAAGCCAGGGTCCCCACAGGAACTTTACATCTTGCCAAATGTTCCTTTTCTTTTCTTTTTTTTTTTTTTTTTTTTT